TATCTCAACGTTGTCACCACAGTCCAAAGCCGCATTACTAAATGAAATAAATACATTATCAAACATAGTAATTCATGTAGTGTATAGGTGTGTTGTAGTGTGTATAAATTCAAGGCACAATGCAGCCCTCTGCATGGCAGATGGGGTTCAGGGATGGTTGGGAGTTGAGGAGCTGAACAGCCTTGGGTACAAAGGTTGCTCTTCTTCTCGGAGTTCTGCAGCCTAGACAGCGCAGTGTCCAATGTCACAATGTAGAACGGACTTGTTCGCGACCTACACATCACTAGTGTCAGGGATCTTTACCCTCACCGGGGATCTTGAAATAAAGCCAGAGCATCTTCTAGTGGAGTTTAAATGATATGATCACATTTATTAATGTGTTATACATATTTGAAGAACTTTACTAGAGTGATTTTAATGTTTATATATTTATCTCCATCACTTCAGCTGCTCTAAACAATATTTCCATATTAACGACGGCTCAAACGACTAAAACGTCACTGCAAAAGGACTGTTAGAATTTCAAGTCACATTTTTTTTTAATGAAAACTGGGTTGCAAATCTTAAACCGGCATTAATTGTTTGGCCACTTGGGGGCAGCGGCAACAAGTTGTGAACACCACATGGACATATCATAACCTTTTCAGATGACATGGCGAAATTGTTAGCAAACATTTGCTAATTAACACATCCGGCAGTTACAGAGCAACACTATCAACGTCATTTGAAGATGTGTTTGTGAACAGCAGGCAAATCCAATATCCACTCACCATTTAGCTTAGCTTTTTTTTTCTTTACCAGCCCCTGAGAGAAATATCTAGCCCTTAGCCGTAGCTGCTACATGCTCCACTATGTCCACCAGCAGAATGTAAGTAGATAACAGATGGATTTTAGAGCTTTTTCTCTGAAAAGCTGCTTGCAGCGACTTAAAATGACAAAATGATGAGAGTGGTGAGATTGAACAAAAACAGTAAAGTTGAGGGCCAAATTCTGCCTGCCTGCCGAGAATTGCAAGCACCTCGCGGATCGTAACGCTAATTCATACAGAGAAAAGAGGTGGATGCAAATCTTGGCAGGTAGCCTAGAACATCTGTTCTGCCGAACTATGCGTCCACCTCTTACAGTTCTTTTCAGACACTTTGCTGTGCTTATTGATCAAACACGGTTATCACCACATAGCCTATTTTTGTTGAATCATAAGGTTGGCTATGCTACTTCTATTAAGTGTAATAAATTATTAACGACTCTAAACGTTCATAAAAGATATACTTAGAATCATTTATCACCATTGATGTACCCCCAAAAGGATATTATAGCCTTTAAAAGCAGTTTTTGGAGGTGCATGCAATTCTCAGCAGGCATGCAAAACTCGATATAACACCGGACAGATAAACGATGAGTTGAAACTCACTCTAAAAGCCGAGGGGAGCTGCAGGTAGGTTCATCAGTGACGACCCTTCTCACATTATTTTGAGACATTGTTATTATAAAAAATAGCAATTGTAGCCGCTTTGAATATTTCTCTACAATAAATGTTGATGACTAAAGAAGCAAAGTTGAGAAAAAAACATCTTGATTTATTTATCAAGATTTTAACACTCCAAAATGAATGTACAACCCCACAATTGTCATCAAATTTTGATTCAAATGTTGCTAAATCCTGATTGGTGCAGAGAAATAGGTGATGCATCCCATATAAGCCCCGGCACCTTCAAAGGAAAAGCACAAATACGGAAATCTCTCATGTGAAATAACAACAACTATTGTGTTCACGTGGGACCTCATCTTTCACAGTACGAATCTCAGAAAACACTTCACTCTGAAATTAGACAGGAGGGGGCTGTTATACAGCACTTAAAAGAATCTATAAAACAATAACTAACTATTTCTATGGTTATGTCAGGCCAGAGCTGTTCACTCACAACCCATTTAATCCTTTAGACAAACCAAAGCTACATTTTCAGTCAGCTACAATCAACAACAAATATACATTCAAGCTACAAGTCAAAGCTCCATTTTTTTCCTCTGTATGACCGTGGTGTTTAGGCCCATTGATTTCCAATAGCACTTAAAAAAAAACTTGATCTCTAATACTTCTAACACGAAAACACGGGGATGTGTGATCTTTTTCAGAAAACTGAAATAATCCTTCAAACAGTCTTTTTCACAGGTGCAAATCACTGCCATTTTCCCTCCTACGTCTCTTCACTGAAGGGAGCCCCCACACACAGAAACTGAACTGTGCTTGATTTTCATGGCATTGTTAAGGGGTAATCATCGTGACATTTACCACTATGATTACTCTGTGAATTGGCCTCCCTTGGTCAGGCATTTTCTATAATTTCCAGACCCCTGGTGGAGAGCAGCTCTGTATTACACCAATTAAAGCAGTGAGTCATATGTCACTGGCCACCTGAGAATTCAGCCTTCCTCAGCTTTGTGCTATAAATTTACCTCTGGCTGTTACACTGTCCAGGTCTATTGTTATTCTGCTACTGACCGACAGATGAAACTGATATGTTGCCTACATGCTTGGGTCATGGCGGTGTCGTGGAGAGTGTGTGTGGGGAGGTGAAAGGTCAAGGTTCAACCCGGTGTCATATTACAATTGCAGTCATTCATCTCTGTTAATCACTTTCCCTCCTTGTTTTGCATGAGTCATGTACCATCTCAGGATGACGTGCTGAAAATTCTCCACAAAACATATAACAAATACAGCTCTTCACGTATCCCTGAGTGCACTGAGCGCAAAACAACCAACAAGACAAACTCTTTGCTCTTTTTAATATGTCTTTCAGAGTAGTGTCAGTGGCTATGCCCAACCCCATAAGGCTTAATTAGATTAATGGAAGAGCTGGAGAGTATCTAATGACCTATCTCCCTGCATCACTGGACAGGGGAAAGATGGAGAGGCATGAAAAGTGCATCGGCACTCGCCTGCTTCCTCCTCCACTCGTCCTCTCCTCTCTTCTGCCCCAGACAAGTCAATGGTCCTTGAGAGCGCTCAGAGATACATTACACGAAGCCCACGGCTGAGTCAAGCCCCGTCTGCATCACGGTGGCATTTCGTTAGTCGTTCCCCAGCGTGACAAGAGGAACGGAACAGCAGACTATGGGCTGAGTGGGTGTACTTTGATTCTTAACGACAAGCGAGCGTGTGAGTGTCTTACTGAGATAAGGGCTAAATGAAATAAGGAAAATATGCAAAGATAATGAAAATGACACTGGACAGAGATTTATCAGAGGAAATAGCCATGCTTATGATTTCCCCCTACGTGTGTCATGCTGATTATGAAATCAGCTTAATGCATTAATTATATGGAGTCTACATATTCTGAATCACTACTAATATGTGCCGGTAGACTACTGCAAAAGCAAAATATGTATAAAAACATTTTATCAACATAGAGCCCTGAAAAGACTTTAATCTGTCAAATTTCAGATTTCAAGTTATTTTGCAACTATTATAACCACACTTTCATAAAATGTACAAAACATTTTTGAATAATATATATAAATATTATTATTTATCTATTTTATACCAAGTCCGTTAACCAATCGCGTTGTTTTTTGTTGATTGGCTGCAATCTTCCATCTCTTCAGGACCTGTAGGCGTTAGGCGTGCACAAAAACAGCTTCTACCCTTCCACAGCTAGCCCCATTAACCTCACTGACACTCCCCCCTTCCCTCTCAAATACTGTATATTATTAATTATTAATTAATTATAGAATATTATTTCATTTCACATCATTGCACATACCCGGTATATTGCACATATTTGTTGTTTAGTTGTTACAGTTAAAAAGGGCATCAACTGGCCCCGGATCATCAGGGGATAGAGCAATGTAGAGCTGTGTGTCATCAGCATAACTATGGAAGTTGATGACGTGCCTCCTGATGATGTCTCCAAGTGGCAGCATGTATAAGTTAAACAGGGTAGGGCCTAAAATTGAACGCTGTGGAACCCACAGTTCATTTCATAGCTTTTAGATGAAAATTCATCATTGCTTACAAAAAATTCTCTATCCACAAGACTGTATCAAAGGCTGCGCTTAAATGAAGAAAGACTGATAATGGTGGTTTCCTCATGTCCATATTTGATCTGAGGTCATTTACAATCTTGAGTAGTGCTATCTCTGGACTGTGATTGGTCTGAAATATATTTCATATATATTGTGGGAATTTATAACATCATTCAATTGATTAAAAACAAGCTTCTCTATAATTTCTTTTATCTTTAAAATGGCAGATGGGACACTGGTCTGTAGTTTTTGAGTACTGTGTTGCATCTGGATTATTTCTCTTCAGAGGAGGTTTCACCATGGCTGTTTCAAAAGCAGTAGGGAGACCCATCTCAAGAGAATACTTCACAATGGTCAGTGAAGATTCACTAAAAAAGCGATAAAATATGGGAATGGGATCTAAAATGCAGGTTGTTGGTTTCAGTAATACCTTTACGAAGCATGTCAGCATCAACCAGGACAAGATTCTCCAGTACAAATACAGGTTCTGCTTTGTTAAATGGTGCTGATAATACTTGCACATTTTTACTTAAGTAAGGTTTTGAATGCAGGACTTTTATTTGTAGTACATTATTGCTACTTTTACTTCAGTATACTTCTTGCCCCAAATGTGTCGTGGGGGAGTTTTATTAAAGAGACAGTAAGGTTTAAAGGCTTACATATGGAGTGGCTTTGCTTGATGGTCCTCAAGTGTCTCAGCTTTAGTGCTGACCTGTAAGCCTATTGGGATCTTATATGAGATGGTGATGGGCTTAGGTCGGTGGTGATGGCGGGGGCTATGCTCCCGGCAAGAGTATTAGTTGTGCTAATACCATTAGAGCCAGTGTGGTTATGAGGGCGTGTTGCGTTTAAGACAAGAGGGTACACAGAGAGAAAAGAGAGGGTTAAGTAAGGACAGGGATCTTTCAGCTCCTTAGGACATTACTTACACTGTCATTTGCTGACTGCAAAGCAGATGCACCTTTAGGATTCTAGACATGTTTAGCAAGTTGAAGGGTCTCTTCAGTGGCCCACAGGTGCCCGCCTCTTCAGGGACCACCACAGTGGGCCCAGCTCCAGCTCCAGCTCCGGCTCTAGCTCCAGCTCCGGCTCCGGCTCCAGCTCCAGCTCCAGCTCCAACTCCAGCCAAGGTAAGACTTGTTTGGATGTAGAAAACAGCATGCTGCAATCACAACAATGAGTAAATAAAAATGTCACTCATAATCTGTAAGAAATTTTTATTCATGTCTTGCGTTTTAAAGGATTTTGGATTCTTCTGTGACACTCTTACAAGCTTTCACACTGTTCTGTATGTCCCAGTAACTGCAGAAGCAGCCAGATGACTGAAATGAAGGCATGACAACAAAAATTATTTTGAAATATTGCATCCAGCCTGTAATAAAGCAGGTTTGGTTACATGTGTTTCTCCTAAGATCACAGAAGTGGCTTCTTATCTGCTCCTCCATCCATTCAACTGCTCAGTGCTCTTGCCAACAAAGAATCTATTGAAATTGTTTCATTACACGGACCTCTTTGAAATCGCTCATTACCCAACGGGCACTTTTGAATCCTATTCATCTCAAACACAGCTTGTGTTTTTTTTTGTTTTTTTTTTAAACAAGTCCATCAAGTCATTTGTCAAATGCTAAATTTACTATTCTTTAAAAATGCTCCCTAAATTAAAATGTCCCTCTAATGAACGTGGCTTGACTAATGAAGCCGAGCATCTGACTTTGTGGGAAATGTTGATTTGTGGTGCAGGAGGAGAAGCCAGCCGATAAGGAGAATGAAGCCAAGAAAGTGGACAAACCGCAGGGTAAGTCATCATTCGTTTGAGAGGCTGAAGTGGCACATTTAGAACCTAAATTACTTTATGTCCCATTTTGTTTTGCTTCGTGTCAGATGGACTTTCTTTATGAAGACTGTGTTTTGGCTGTGCACAGTGTCTGTTTAGTTTTTGAGAGCATACACTTAAGAAAGAATTCATCATAAAAGTACACATATATCTCATCTCTTAGAACTATGTCCAGGTGCTCTGATCTAAATGCATATGTTTGCTGATTAGTTATAATGATACTAAAATGACCTCAGCGAGCTCAACACTGTCTGCGGTTGTTCTCAAAGCTCTTTTTGATTCATGTTCCTGTAATTTTTCAAAACAAAAGTTGTAGAATTTCAGCTTCAAATGGCTGTAATCAACATTATGTGCAGTTGTGAGGCAGAGATATTGATCCAGAAGGGACTGTGATCATTAAGACAGCACAGGGGCACACAAATGACACAAATTGACTGTTGACAGCTTATCAATATGAAAAGTTCACCTCTGGTCAACTTTTCTTGAGGTTATTGTCTGTCCAAACGTCACGTTCCCTACTTTCTGAGATCAATAAGATAAATTGCATTTCAGTGACTTGATTGTGTTGCTCTCAGTCTAGACGCCTGTCTTGTAGCAATTTTCCTGTCGCCCAATACAACTGATAATTCTCTTACGTAATGTCTCTGAAAACCAGAAGTGCAACTTAACTCCTAAACGATCTAAACTGTAACATGGGCTGTATGTTTTGGACACCACACATAATGCGGCCTTACGGACATTATGAATCTCATTCAGGACTTCTGCCCAGTCGATCCACAGTTTGTGTCCTTCTCCGTCTCAGTCTTATTTAACCAGTGCAGCACAGATGCCAAAAGGGAATAAAGAACTGTTTTGTGGATTGCTTCATATAGAACTCTTTCTCTTAAGAAACTTTTTGAAATGTGGGCTTAAACATCAGCAGTATTATCAATTCTTCTAAATTACTTGATACTGAATTGGGGTGGTAATGGAACAGTGGATAAGACACATGCCTTTGGTGTGAGAGACCCGGGTTAAAATCCCACTGTGATACGTCCATGTGTCCCTGAGCAAGATACTTAACCCCTAGTTGCTCCAGAGGTGTGCCTCTGACATATATAGCAATTGTAAGTCGCGTCGGATAAAAAGCATCAGCTAAATGTAATGAACTGAGATACAGCCATGTCAGTTCTTTAGTGTGTCATGTTTTTCAATAATAATAATAATAATAAACAATAATGCTGTTATTTGTATAACTTTTTTCCAATACAAAGTAACTTTAAAGTACTTTACAGTGAAACAAATAAATTAGTAAATGAAATTCGGCATGTAAATGTTAAAATTATAAAATGAGCAATAATATCTTAAAATCAGTTGCAAAACTGATCACTGACAGGCAGCAAGTATTTGTGGGATGTGGTCACTCTCACAGAACATGTTAAAAGCCCGGCAGCAGCGTTTTCTGTGAGGTGTTGACCTCATAGGGTAGATGTTTTTCCTGCTGAGACCAGAACAAAATGCATTCAAAGAATTCAGGATTCAAGGAGGAGATAAAACGTAATTATGATCGTTTCCTTTTCTCAGAATCAACTCCGGACCCTGCTCAAGCTCCAGCAGTTGCCCCGGCCCCGGCCCCCGCTCCAGCATCAGCCCCTACAGCAGCTCCGGCTAATCCTGATCAATTTGGACCTGAGGGGTAAGACCTGCACACTTGGTAGTTTCTGTAGTTTCCGATTGTTTTAGCAATAATCACAATGAAATCATCACCAAGTGTTTTTTGTACCTGATTGGGTGTCTGACATTTAATTTGCACGGGATATGCACTGAAAGCATAACACAAGCATAGGCAGTTAAAGAGAATATATATATAGTGTATTCATCCCAAGAGTAACTGCAACAGCCTCCAACCAGCACCACAAACCGGTATCAAATTAATCACTAATTAATCAGACTCCCTGGCAAGATGGCAGAGAGAGACAGAGATAGCCCTCAGAGATGAACACAGCATGTGATATCTTTATCCCCTCGTGCAACATGCATATTAACAGGGGGAGGGCCAGAAAGTGGATTAAAAGCTTTTCAGCTTTTTAGCTTAAAGAAGCTCACCTAGGCTGCTTCTGGCCCAGCAATAAAAAACACATGAAGGCGAGAGGTAAAGACAGACTCAGCTGATCCTCGCAGTTGTAAGCACACGTTACTCCAAATAAGGAGCCGTGTTGGAGACGCTTCATCAGTGGATAGTACAGTTAGAGGTGTCATCATAAGCTTGAGCGATGTGTGGAATAAATATGTAACATCTACACTGATAACTTCGATAATCCAAAACAGTTCACTGATCTGTTAACATGCTACTGGGTCCACTCCCAAAAAGGTCTAAATGTTACAGTTACATCCATTCTAGATATTGTAATATCAGACCACTTCTGCATATTTTTTTAATATGACCTGGCTAACTAAGCATGACAGTGTGATAACTTTGACTGTAAATCCAAAAGCTCCTTGGAGAAATTGGGTAAGAATAAAACTGAGAACCTGCCAGAAAGCTGAGGTCAAGTGGCGGAAGACCAAGCTGCTGGTTCACCTTTACAAATGCACTTAAGAGCTATTACAAAGAAATGATACTTTGTAGACAATCCAACATGATAACCAAAACAGTGCTCAATTTCTTTTCTCCACTATTGACTTCCAAGTGACTCTTGCCCATAAAATGTCATGAATCTGCCTTGTTCTTTCAGGAAAAAGTATCAGATATTAGAAGGAAACTAACAATTTCACATACTAATGATTGCCTGTCTCTTCCTCTACATCATCACACTACTGAGGGCACAAAGTAAAATTTTCACCTTCTACCTTTAATGATCTAGAATAGGTGATCAAGCAGCTAAACTCCTCCACCTGCTCCTTTGACCCAGTTTCCACACAATCTTTCAAATGTGAATTCAGTTCTCTACAATAAGGAGTCTTCCCCTGTATTCACACTTGTAAACCTGGCTATAACTAATGCAGCTGTTTCAGAGAGGTGTTGATTCAGCTGGATGGTTGTCTCAGAGTCTGCTGTTAAACTGTATTGTGTTATACAGAATATTCCTGTTATTTAGCATACCCTCATTTATATATATGGGGTGGACATAAAAATAGTAACATCTGTCAGTATAAACCACTTCACCACAAACTGCAGCCTTCGAAATGGATAAAGTTGAACCAACACATCTAACAAAATGCAAAGTAATGAACAGTCTGTGTCCTGTATTTTGCAAGAATATAATTATTTTATATTGATAGACTTTTAAATATCACCATGCTTTAGGCATTTATCAGTGCTGCGGGGATTTATTTGGAGTGACTCGACACAAATGAGTCTTTCTTGGATCCTCTTGTCAGCAAGATGTATTGCTGAATTGTGCCCACTAGGGGGAAACATATGAACACATATGTCTCTCTTCCTCTGTCTGTACTTCTGAGGCTGAAGTTGCTCGTCTTTGTCAGCTGAGCATCTGCAATTAGAATGTCATTTCACAGAATACATGTCTTCATTTGACATTACAAATACCAATTGCTATTCTGAGTCATGTGTGAAAAGCAGTTCCTGTAGACTATTGGTTTTCAAACGTTTTCACATCAAGACTCCTAAATTGACACATATTAGACCACAGACCCCCATTTGGCAAAATTGTGTCCCAAGGTCCCCCATCTGATAGGAATGTTGCTTTTAGATGTTTTATAACAGAAGGTGTATGAAACGCATAGTTGTCTTAGTTATGGATGGTATTATAATGAAAATAAATGATTACCATTTTTTGCTGGGGACCCCGTTGGAATGGAGGACCACACATATTATTTAGCACAAAATCCGACAGAGCATGTTGGCCACTAGCTTCTCCTGCTCGCTGCGACCAATGATGGGAAATAAAGACGTATACAGAACTTTGATTCTTTCAAAATCACATATTGTATATAGATATACATATAATTTGTAATATGGTTATAACTGTTAGTTTTCTGTCCACGTAGAGTGAACTAATTTTGAGGTCTGCCTGTTGTTTATGACGTAAACCTTCAAAAATGTTTTTTTTGCCACTTGCAGGCAGTGGAACACAACAGAGACATTTTTTTTTTCTCCGTTTTCCCATGTTCTCGAGATAACAAAACAGTAATGTTAGTTTAACACAGGGGTCAACAGGAACGTTTCTTAATTCAATTTAATTGTGAATTTCAGTGTCACTGTTTAGTGGGGAGAGTTGTAACATCACCAGCTCCACCAACTAGAGATAAGATAGGAGTTATGTGATCATATCAGTATTTACCAACTTCTACCCCAAACAGGCATGGTGGTTATCAAGCCTGGAAACAGGTACATTCAGAATAGAGAAAAAAATAATTTTGAGGTAAGAAAGTAAATTTTTTGACCAAGACTATATTTTGTTTAGGATTTATACTATTGCAGACACTATGGTAATACAGCTAGCTAAACAATGGCTGACAGGGGTGAGTTGTAACACTTATTTAAAAATTGCTATTCATACAACTAGGGACTTTCTTGATTTTAATATTTTATAGCCTGCACTGTAGGGTTACCAGCATTCATTTGACAGGACTGTTACCAGTATACTGTTCAAATGTTGGCGTATGTATCGGCACTCGGTCTTTTCCATACTCCGTCTCCACCGGTGGAGAGGGCAGAGAAGCGTACAGGCAGCTTGTGAAAAATTCCAGTGCGCCAGAAAAAGTCCCACTACACCAAAGACTAAAATATAGAAGCGCCAGTACTGCGTACCGGTGAGTACCGACCCACTTCAAACACTGACTGTGACTCTGATGAAGAATATACACACATTGACACCACACACAAACACATCTTTTTTTTGTTACACCTAAGGATGTAGAGATGTTCTTTAAGAAAACTATTGAGTAAGTTCATTCTATAGATAAATTTACATACTGTACATTCGGGCGAGTCATCAGACATAAGTCTGTTATAGTGTGAGAGAAACATTGTATAAAGTTACCTGTCTGAAGCATATCATACAGTGTGGCATCTATTTTTGCTTCTTTTGTCTTATTGTTACAACCTACCCCAGTATTGAGATAGGTTGTAACATGCGAACACAGTGCATTTGGCATCAACTCACGAGGTCTGTGATATTCTTGTAGAAGACTGAACTGATGCCATTTGTAGTGAACAAATGTGGGTCGGCTACTTTGTTTAAAAGTAAAAGAGTTTTGTATAAAACCCATTAGATATGATAGGAACTGCATGGCCTGGTGAAAAGTATCTGTGGGTTCATCACTAAGGGCAGTGCCGGCTGGTGAAAAATATTTTAGGTGGGGCTGTGCCATATCCAGTCAGTTTCAGTAACCATACCAATACAATTTAACACTAACTTCAGGATACCAGTACTTTGTTAAATGGTCAGAAATGATGAATGGCAATATTATTATTATATTTTATTATAGGCTATTAATATACAAAAACATAAACAGTGTACATAAACATAGAAAGTGGCATGAAAAGAAAATACTCAAGTAAAGTACAAATAGGCTACCTCTAATTTGGACTGCAGTACAGTAGGCCTACTTAAGTTAATGTCCACCACTGGAAATAACCACATCTTAACGGCTAAAATCCACTGACTCCATAGAAGCGGCTCTCCGCTCCGCAGAGAATAGGTAGCAGGTCTATTTTTGATGGAAGACACGTAAAGCAGCACAGAGCTGATCGAACTAGGCAGGAAGTCAGACACAAAACGGCAGAGAGAATCCGGTCAATTTTCAGAATAAAACACCCCGTGGAGACTCCGGATCGTAAAACAACAATAAACATGGTTAAAACGGACACAAAGGGAAATCATTTAACTACGTAGCCTACTTAATCATAGTAGAAGAAAAAATTTAAAACACTGATTACCAAATCAACTAAATGTAAACATGTCAGCAATTAGCTACAACACCTGCTTAAAATCAGGCAGGTAAAATGCTCTGATTCTGAAATGCTCCTTGTGGGAAATGCAGCCTGCAGTTCACAGAACGAAACATAGAGCACACAATACATAACGCTAATTCATGCTGAGAAAAGAGGTGGATGCAAATCTCGGCAGGTAGCCTCCAACATCTGTTCTGCCCCATACAGTCAATGGTTCTGCCGAATTATGCATCCACTTCTTAATAAGGTCCTTTTCAGACACTCTGCTGTGCACACTGATCAAACGCGGTTATCACCACATATTTTAGCTGAATCATAAGGAATGCTACTTCAAGTGTAATAAATAATTACCGACTCTAAACGTTCATAAAATATATAGTTTGAATCATTTATCACCATTGACGTTCCCCACAAAGGACATTATAGCGTTTAAAAGCAGTTTTTGGAGGTGCACGCAATTCTCGGCAGGCATGCAAAACTCGGAATAACACCAGTCAATGGACGCAAAAAAACCTTGGCGCAGCTGTAACGTGCCGTAGCAGACACCGGCGTAACACTTCTATCTGTCTATAAACTATACAGCTTACCTCTGTAGCCAACAGCTGTTGTTCTCCTTGTTTATGTACCACAGCACAAGCACCAACTGGCAGTGTGTGGAAATATCAGTTGTCTCATCTGCCTGAATAAACATTACTCTTGAAGTAATCTTCAAGAACTGACAGCATGCAGTCCAAACATTTGTTTTGCACAGTCTTGAGGTGCCTTTGAAAACCGTAGCTGTCTTAAGGTGCTCCTCCAACACACTGTCCAGCAAGATCTACTGAAAACGGCAGGGTTGTCAGTGGATGCGGTCTCATTGTGGCCGCGCAAGTCCGATGTTAACTCTGCCTAGCATGGCTAGCTTCACCGTATTATCCATATGTGCCCTCGTACACTCGTGTTTCTTAATCTTCTCTGATAAATGTATCGTGTCATTTACTCCTGTAACAGTCCATGTTGTATCCGTCCCCGCCATTTTAAAAAGCATGCATGGGAAGCAAAAAAAGCTATTTAAATCATTGCATCCAGCTAACGTTAGCCAAGGCAGAAAGCCTGTGTCGCCCTTGAGTTCCGCATTCATCGCATCAACACCATCACATGTCCCTCTACCACCTACTGATTGGCTTGGGGCAGATCCTGGAGCGCCCTTCAGGCATCAGATTTGGGGACGCTGATTGGCTTAATTTCTGTTGCTATGGGCATATCTTGTGTCAGCCAGAGTCAGCTATTGGCTGCGCTGCAGTGCTGCTTGGGCGATCTCTCTGGCGCCCCAGAAGAGATCAGTGGATGAGCAGGAAGTTAATTTCACCCCCAAACATAATTATTTAACCTATATTTTATATATTACACATTATTGTGCATTTTAAACACACATATACTTAAAAGGTAATTACTGTTTATTAAAAAATATATTTAAAAAATAAAAATCTAAACACTTTCCACCCATAGACTGTCTATAAAAAGGGAGGGCGGCGATCTAGCGCCCTCTATTGGCCAGCCGCCACTGACTAAGGGCCTGAGTTACTAAAGGTTTGCGTGAGTAAAAACGTGTGCAAACTTCATATCACCAGCAAATTAGCATGTAAGCTGATCTACTAACGGTGTGCACGCAGAATGACGCCTTTCAAAAGTGCAAGATTGCACCTGTTGATTTAGTACTTTTGCCTTAATGAATATGCAATTTGGGGCGTAACATGCAAATACATTTAGTTACTACACGCAATGTCATCTACCAAGCCTAAACGCAGTTTCACGTGAGTGCAATCAGCCTCTGTATTTAATAGGTTTGAGAGGAAGGTTCAAACCGCCAAGTATTGCGCAGAGATGGCTTCTGTTATTGTTGCCAGAAGGAGACACAGCCATAATGAAAGAAAACGCATAGAAATTAACAATATTAGATAATATATAGAATATATATATATAGAAATACAATTATTTTCTTATATTTATTCGATGAACTATATGAATAGTTTTTTGTGTGTGTACTGTTGTATTAACAATCATGCCAATAGCAAATTTCGTTTCAACCTGACTTCTTTTCTCCGTGAGATGGAAGAATTTAGAAAGTTGCGTGGCGCTGCGGAGAGCCCCCAGCTGCACTAGTGCACGGATCACGCATAAAATTCATCCAGCCAGAGGGGACGATCACCAACTGTTCACAGCGCGCAGGTCGTAATATAGCGACACAACCCATTGTAGGTATCAAAGAGGGTGTGTACAGGGCCAGGGACAGGAGATCGCAGAGCGACCAGGCACTGTGCGGACGGTCGGTGATTGTTCCCTCTGGCTGGATGAAGCATGATCTGCTGGCATTTCCTCGTGTCTGGGTCATTCAAGCATACTGTTGCTGTTTTTGCTGGGGTTTCCCAAAGCAGTTATACAGGTGTGCTGTCCCAAGTACTTAGTGCAATCTCAGGCAGGATGGGCTGGTACATACGATTTCCACATACTCGGGACGCACTAAGCGAAACAAACCAAGGGTTTTCTTAAGGATGGGAGTGATGTGCAGTCCAAGTTTTGTGTGGGTGAGCATCCTAGCCGCAGAGTTCTGGACATACTGGAGTCTGTCAGTAGCCTTGCCGAGCAGACCGAACAGGATACCATTACAGTAGTCAAGTCGGGAGGTGATGAAGGAATGGATGAGGGTCTCAGCTACAGAGTTGAGAGGCACTGTCGGTGTCTGGAGATGTTCTTAAGATGGTAAAAGGCAGTTTTAGTAGTGTTTTTGATGTGCTGTTGGAAGGAGAAGGTAGAGTCCATGATGACGCCCAGGTTGCGTACTTGAGGGGATGCAGAGATTGAGCAGCCATCCGCATCCAATTTCTAATGGTATTTTCCATCTTAAGACAAGAAGCAGCCCCACCTCCACCTCCACCAGTCGTCATCAACAAGTATTCAGATGAGCAGCTCAGAGCTTTAGCCAAGCGGATGAGAGAGAGGGTGCAGCAGTACAAGGAGAAAGTGGTTGATCAGTATGCTTCATCCCCAGAGATCAGCCCTCCTGTCAGTGAGTACAAACACAAAATTATTTATCTGTACACACGAGTTGGAGCTTCACTTCATCTGTGCTTTTACGTAAGCACAAAAGCTTAATATGTGTGACTTGTGATTATAGTCGTCAGCTTTACTGGGGCCGCATGCCACACATGATGAATATTTAAATTGCATCAAATGTTTTTCACACACTCAGCCTTCATATTGTCCTTTCAGCACCTCTGCTACACAAAGAAAACTACGCAAATGTCATAGATGAGAGGAAAAGGCAAGCGGAGGAGGAGCGGATAAAGAAGGAGGCGGCTGAGAAGAAGAAGAAAGAGGAGCAGGAGAAGAAAAAGAAGGAGGCAGAGGAGAAGAAGAAAGAGGAGGAGGAGAAAAAGAAAGCAGAGTGTAAAAATGAGAAAAAGGTGGAGAAGGACATGAAGTCAAAGTTAATGGAAGCTGCCTGGTTTTCGGTGGACGTAGTGCTGAAGCCGATTGAGAACCTGATGGACTCTGTCCTAGGGAAGACCATTGACCCTTTTACAGACCGCCACTACATCGCCTGGCTGAGCTTGGTGACTCTGGCCTTCAACTACAACACCTGGTTCATCACGGCCCGCCTGTGTTTCCCTTACCACACTGAGAGCGCCATCCCTTACTGGTTCGCCCTGGACACCCTGGCCGACTTCATCTACCTCACAGACTCCATCATCTTCCAGCCCCGCAAACAGTTTGTCAAAGGAGGAGACATCATAGTGAGTCTTGGAGTTCAATGGACCCCTTTGCTGAGAATGACCCAGATAAAACTCAAATGAACTGTTCTTTTCTTCCTTTCAGAAAGACAGAGTGATGACAAAGAAGTACTACAGAGATACAGAGAGATTTAAGGTAGTGTAACTTGACTTCTTTGAACTTCTTTGAAGGATTTGAAGGAGCTCATCTCTGTGACCTCAAACATCTGTCTCTCCTCAACAGATGGACCTGTTGTCCCTCATGCCATTCGACTTGCTGTACTTCCAGTTTGGATTCAAATCCATCTTCAGAGCCAACCGTCTTCTGAAGGTGAATTTAATATCTGTTGTGGGAAGGTCACCTAACTGATGATGAAAACATACTAAAGTTAAGAGTGACTTTGTTTCCTTCCTGTGGGCCGCCTTGGCTGACATGTACATGCTTATTCTCAAGGCAGACACGTTTTTTGAGTTCAGCGATCGTCTCGAGAGTATCATGGCCAAGGCTTACATCTGGAGGTATGTCACATGAAGTTAACTGAGCATTTAGGATGATGCTTTTTTTAAAAAAAAAAAAGTGATCCTGCATGCGCCATTTTAAAAACTTGAAGACTTGAAATGCTAAGGTCAGGTCAAGGCAAAAACAGGAACTCACCTGTAAAAACCTTTTTAAATGGCAGAATGAGCCAGCGTTTAAGTTCAGCTGTATGGAAGTTACTTTACAGTTACTGTCTTGGAGAGCAGCCTTTTGTATCACCTCTGCTTTGGCAGCCTACATGGTCGTATCCCCTTAAAGCAACTGCTGGCTTTAACATGGACGAACGATGAGATGAGGGGAAGCGAGCTAACGTCTTTCGTTTTCTGTTAGAGTGATTCGGACTATCGGCTATCTTCTCTTCATGCTCCACCTCAATGCCTGCTTCTACTATGTGGCCTCAGAATACCAGGGCATCGGGACAACTAAATGGGTCTACTCTGGTCTTGGCAGCGCGTAAGTACAGAAATTTTATATTTCTGCTTGTGTTTAAGCATGTGGCATTCAGGTTTGTGTTTTCTCCATATTGCACACTTTTAAAATCTGAGAATCAGGCTACCACCAATCATTGGCTACCACATTCTAACTGTCAACAAGTCAGGTCAAAATGAAAACTGATTTTTCTGTCTCATTAAGATCTGCTCAGGAAGCTCGATAGACGAATGTCAACACACTAGTGAAGTGTGGTGTAATTACACCATTAGTAAAGTGCACACTTGTATAGACTGGTAATTGTATGTCTTCAAGTATTCCCAGATAATCTTACTTACCATAAAACCTTAATTAAAAGCCTAGTCCCAATTAGACTCCTGTCCCTTTTACTGGCCTGTTGTGGCCACATGTTTTGACAAATAAATGCAGGTCTCAATTAGAAGCCCGGTCTGGTTTTTATAGAAGCTCTTTGGGTGTATAAAACTTCTTGAAGCCCACCAGGTCACCTGCTTGAGCTAATTCTAAGCGGCCTTGTTCTTGCAAACCAATATTAATGTTTAAACATTTGTAAATATGGACACGCTAAATTGTAACTGGTGTGGCGTCTTGGCGAGGTCTCCCTCGGAAAAGAGATTTCAATCTCAAGGGACTTCCTGGTTAAATAAAGGTTAAATAAAATAAAATAAAAATGCGACACATCGTTAGATCGATTAGATTCTCCATAATCCAATCATTTAGTTCACTTTATGGAAATAGTGGGCACCAAAGTGTTATTAAAGGATTTAAAGGCCTATACCACATAGACTCCTTACTCAAATACAGGCAGGCTGAATTCAGTGATTTAAGCTAATAAAAGCCTGTGCTATTTAATAAAGTTTTATGGTATTTTGCTGAGTTTAGTTAAACTGTGCATCATTGTCGTGTTTCAGAGTTGACTGAGTTTAGCGCAGAGAAGGACTTCGTCAACAATCCACTGCTCAATATATAATATAATATATATAATAATATAGAGAAAATGTAATTACCAGTAGGTCTGTGTGTCACATGGTCTTAATCAGTTGTGTGTGTATTAACTATTTATTAAATGAAGTTCTGTGTAATTATAAAAAACAAATAGGACTGTATTGATGGGAAAATGTGTGGATATCAAACATACACACACAAAGCTTGTAGAGTCACTGCGATGTCTGCCGCACTGAAACAGAACTCCAATTTCAAACAGAGTCACTCACACAGTGAACATGTTTTGTATGTTCCATCTTTGCTGCTGCTGCAGTTACCTCAGCTGCTTCTTCTATGCGGAGAAGTCCCTGCTGATGATCGCCGAGTTGCCGTTTCCGGACACCATGTTCGGACAGATCTTTCAGATGACAAACTACCTTTTTGGAGCATTCTTTATGTCCATCATTCTTGGCCAGGTAGTTTAATAGTAATCCTTTTTCAATCATCTTTTCCCCTTTCCCCTATTATTCATTTTTTCTCTATTGTTATAATTTTGTTTTTGATGATTTGGTCAACCTGTTCTTGGGTGGCATTTTTAGGATGATATTTTTGAACATTTTGCAGCAAGACATCAAGGGAATTAAACTTCAAAAAGTTAAATAACAATGATTCAAAGTGTGCCCTGAACTCTGGACAGCCGCACTCCCTCCTAAACACACACACACACACACACACACACACACACTTATTTATTCTGTCAAAATACAGTTTCTGACATATTAGCGTAGTTTGTGACAGCCCATCTAACAACCCCCACCCTCTCCACAGGTACCTGCGTTGTTACTACCATGCAGTCCGCAGTCTGATCAACATCGGGGGTCTTAACGAACCCCATACCGTCTTTGAGATTACCTTTCAGATGACAAACTTTTTCACGGGCGTCTTTGTGTTCTCCAGTTTGATTGGACAGGTAACATAGAGACACATTCTGCCCGTAGCATGAGTCAAAGTAGAAATCAGCAACTCTAAATTAGCATGCCGTCACCTTGTTAATGTAGTGATGTTCGATAAGTCATCTTACCATACTAGCGTCACCAACTCCCCATCATCCATCACCCCGTCTGTTGGTCGTGCCTCGGTGATTCCCTGTGGAGTCTTGACTATAAAAAAGCTTGTAAAATGTACCAAATGTAGCATGGTAACAACACAAAGTCACTGACTATACTGTGTAGTTGATTATTATCCAATTTAACACAGTTTTCCACAGTTCATGTATTTATTCTCACGTCAACTTGCCTCAGATGAGAGACGTCATCGGGGCAGCCACAGCAGGACAGACCTACTACCGATCCTCCATGGACAACACGGTTAACTATATGGTGGCCAACCACATCCCTGCTTTGGTGCAGAACCGAGTCCGCACCTGGTACACCTACACCTGGGATGCCCAGGGCATGCTGGGTGAGTAAAACTCAGAAAGGCTTAAATTATAAGAAGCCATTCAGTCCTTCACACACATATCACTTAATAGACAACAACATGGCACTGCCTTTTCTGTTTTCTCTTGACACTTTCAGATGAGTCCGAGCTGCTGGATAAGATGCCTCTGGTGATGAGAACCGCCATCGCCGTTGACATCAACCTGGCAACCTTTCAGAAGATTGATCTTTTCAAGGTGCCTTCTCGAGACACTAAAGCACAGTGAAAGAGGCGTACTGCAGCTTCGACATTAAGTCCTGTTAGCTCAGACCTCAACAGTAAAGCCACCAAACGCAAAGCACGGACTATTGCACATGACCCCTATCTATCTATGTTTTTTTCTTCACAGGGCTGTGACCAGCAGATGTTGGTGGACATGTTACTGAGGCTCAAGTCTATTATCTATCTACCTGGAGACTTTGTCGTAAAAAAAGTGAGTTAATCTTATTATCAGATTAATCTGTATCATCCCTCAAAAGTAAAACTTTTGTGTACATATCTACTGCGTCTTCCCGTGTGTGTAACAATCTGTACAGTATTTGATTTTGTTTTTCTGAATGCCCTCTCTGCAGGGCGACATCGGTAAAGAGATGTACATCATCAAAAGTGGAGCGGTGCAGGTGGTGGGAGGACCTGACAACAGCATTGTGTTTGTCACCCTGAAGGCCGGCTGTGTGTTTGGAGAAATTAGGTAGGAGGAAGTTCACACTTTCTCTTTTGTAAACTAGTCTTGACAAAAAAAAACCTTAGAGCACTGTAAATTCCAGTTTTCACGCTGTGATAAACATCAGCAGAGATGTTTAATGTGCACAACAGTTTAATGCTCCCAATCAGAAGATAATAGATTCAAAGAACACTGTCTATGTAACGTTAGGAGACTTGCAAAAGAGGTTTATTGAGGAAAGAGGGGGACGAGGAGGGACGGGAGGAAAGAAGGGGAGTGGGAGGCGAGGACGCGGGGGACCGAGCAGCTGGAGGAGCGGAAGGAGCTTTGGCTGGAGGTTCGAGGGAGGCTGGCAGAAGTGGAGGAGAGAGCGTGGTGACTGGGGACCCGGCGGGGTGCAAGGGGGGAAGCCGGAGGGCGTCGTGGAGGCGGCGAGAGGAGGAGGCTGGCGAGCAAGCCCGGGTGGCTCTTTTGAAATTTCAAAAGAGCCATAACGAAGCGGTGACACCAAGTCAGGAGCTGCGAAGATCGAGCGAGGATGGAGTGGAAAGCCGGGGTAGAAATACTGGTCGTGATGAGGTTAATAGCTGGCAGGTACGGCGGCCCGGGAGGTTAACGAGGTGCAGGTGTGGGTAGCCAGCCGGGCTCCGGAGCACAGAGGGAGAGAGAAGGCACAGGAAAAAAACAGAATGCGAGGGAAAGGAGAAACAGGACACTCACCAACAGCCGGGCTGTCACCGCGACAGTCTAGGAATTTTTATGTGATGAAATGTGTTTGTTTTTTATGTATATTTCAGTCTGTTGCAATCATCCAAAGATGGGGGGAACAGGCGGACTGCTAATGTCAAAGCCTACGGCTTTGCTAACCTCTTTGTCCTGGAGAAGAAGGACTTGTTTGACATCCTGGTCCACTATCCAGAGTCTCAGAAAGTGTTGGCCAGGAAGGGCAGGTGAGTAAGAGGCCATCATTTCCCAACCTATTATAACATTTTGCAATTTATTATTTACTGTATAAAAGACTAAGAATTATTAGAATTGCTCACCTTCATAATAACGTCTTAATTATTTGTTTTTTAAATTAAGATTATATAGAGCTGAGTAAAGCATTTACTATATTGGCTAGATTAACTATTGGTTTTTAAAATGTTAGCAAATATTGTGCTCCTTCATTCTCTGTCAGTCAACTCAGTGTCAATAACATGTGCAGCACATAAGACAGCTGTTACCTATGTACATGCAACTGCATTTAGCCATCATTATTCATAACACCTAACTGTGATTTAGCAACTTTTTTAGGTAAAGAAATTTAGATTTTAAGGCTATAATTATAGTATTTGGTCCCCAAAGGCTACTTGAATGTTCAAATGTTGATTCTTTTCCCCCTAATAGTTGCTTTTAAGAAAGAATTCTTTCCACACACACATTCACACAGCCATTTCTCTGCTCGATGAATCAGTGTATTTTCAGTCCTGAGCAAAATTTGCAGTGTACAGTTTTTAATTTGTTCCATTTCTTCATGATGTTTGTCTTCTCTGTTTCTATGTGCGTGTAGGAAACTAATGAAAGCGAAGGGTCCGACTGCAGCTAAAGCAGACGAGGAGAAGAAGAAAGGGCTGGCGCTATTCGGCCCCAAACCGCCCACACCCAAACTGCTGCGTGCTTTTGGAGGAACCATTAACAAACGGATTACTGACAGAATAAAGGTACCAACTCTCATTTCTATCTATACGTGTTCAGATAAGAGCCACCACATTTTGTCTGACTGCTAAACATACCTTATATTGTTTCCTCTCCCCAGGCTGCTACTGCTGACCAGTAAGGATTGTAGTAAGCTTATGTTTTTTTATAACTCTTTTTTGGGAGCGAATGTACAATTTTATTCTCAACCTCTTATTAATCTTTTGTCCTGAGTGTGCATATCTTTTCACTTCAAGATGGTGTTTAAAAGGGATCCTTCTGTCAAGCGTTTGGCAAATTAGATGTAACCACATGAAACCATCAAAGATGTATTTAAACAACTTATTTTGTTGAGATGTGAAATATTTGAATCTGTCTGTGCGCTGCTGCCCCTAATGGATACTGCATGTTGTGTATATACACTGAACAACGTTATAAACAGCAACACTTTTGTTTTTGTCCACATTCATCATGAGCTGAACTCAAAGATCTAAAACTTTCTCTATGTACACAAAAGGCTGATTTCTCTCAAATATTGCTCACAAATCTGTCAAAATCTGTGTTAGTGATCACTTCTCCTCTGGCGAGATAATTCATCCACCTCACAGGCGTGGCGTATCAAGATGCTGATCAGACAGCATGGGTATTGCCCAGGTGTGCCGTAAACTGGCCACAATAAAAGGCCACTCAAAAATGTGCAGTTTCACTGTATTGGGGGGGTCCGGAAACCAGTCAGTATCTGGTGTGACCACCAATTGCCTCACACAGTGCAACACATCTCCTTCGATCAGTCAGCATGCCAATTGCATGCTCCCTCAAAACTTGCAACATCTGTGGCATTGTGCTGTGTGATAGAACTGCATATTTTCGAGGGGCCTTTTATTGTGGCCAGCCTAAGGCACACCTGGGCAATACCCATGCTGTCTGATCAGCATCTTGATATGCCACACCTGTGAGGTGGATGGATTATCTCCGCAAAGGAGAAGTGCTCACTAAGGCTACTGCAGACCAATGTGACCCAAATACGATTTTTTTTGCCCACATGTGACTTAAATCTGATCTTTTTATGACAGTGTGAACAGGCCAAGTCACGAATCTTATCTTTTCCAGTTTGGAATTGGACCACTTCCACTTGTGGTCCAAATCCGATAAAGATCGGATCTTTTTAAATGCGACCTCAGTCTGGACACTCAGGTCGCATTTGACGCGACTTTGACGTCACTGTAGAGCAGTTGTTCTGCTGTAGACGAAGCCGCGCTGAACGAAAAAGCACCTCAAAAAGCCTTTATCAAACATGTGTCTCTCTTCCTTCTGTTTCTTATACCTGATCCACCGTACCGGAGCTCGCTTCTGAGTTAACGTTACATGCATGCTATTTGGCCGAGGAACACAGAGTGGGGAGAGAGAGGAAGGGAGTTGTGGGGCAGATGCATTGTCCAGCGCCAGAAACCGTAATGAGAACAACAGAAAGTTGTGAACACTTGTCATAATTCGGGAGAAATGTGACCCGTGAGAGGACAATGAAAAACGGGAGTCTCCCGCGAGCTAACCGGAGATACACTGCTCCATGTTTACTTCTGTAGCCTGCAACAGTGTGCTGCATGTGACGTCGTGTTATTCTTCTGCGCATGCGGGTCACTTTAGGGCCGTGGACAGGAAACACTGGAGTCTGATATGGACCACATTTACAACTTTAATGTGAACTGTATCTGGGGAACATGAAGGCCTGCAGTCTGAACGTAGCCTATTACAGATTTTGACAGATTTGTGAACAATATTTGAGAGAAATCGGCCATTTGTGTACATAGAGAAAGTCTTAGATCTTTGAGTTCAGCTCATGATGAATGGGGCAAAAACAAAAGTGCTGTTTATAATTTTGTTCAGTGTAGTATACTTCTATACTGAACATATCTGTCTATTCATTTTTTTTGTTTGTCTGCTTTTATTGGCTCAATTTTCATTTAGTTTGCCATTGCACCGTAGTTGTAAAAGCATGACAGAGATTATCTATCATAACAACTGGTTACAGTAATTCTCACATTATAATATTTGATTGATTTGATCTCCTGCCAATTTATGAATAAATAATTCCATGATTTAACAACAGTTCATATTGACATCCTGTTCTGTTTGTTTGTTTGTTGTGTATCTGTCTGTCAGCTTTGTGTTTGATCGGAGAGAGAGAGATATATAAGAGCTAATCCCGTTAGCCTGGGCAGGGACATTGTGAGGCAGCCAACTGAAATAACCCCAGCAGTCTTATTTTACACCAGCTACTGTCATCCCTCACAGCCACGAGTTACTACCACGTAAATCATGTCACCCCATGATTAAATATGTTGAAACATGCACTTAGTTCTGTGTGAAATGCAGAGGCACAACTGAGAGTTGTTTTCAGTTATTTCAATAAAATGAATTGCAGAATTAGCAACTAGTTTGTAATTATGAAAATATTTCCCATCCCCCAATTGACTTTACCTGGCAGTGATTCATCTTTTAATTTGATTATAGAAAGACACACTTGTATTAATTATTAGGAGGCTTATTTACCAAGAAATGATGAAGTAATTAGGCCCGCTCTGTGGTGCTGGGTCTGGACTGGAGTCAGCTCTGCAGGAGGACAGTTGGTTGCGCGACAGTGATTAGCGGCTATAAGAGCTGATCTGGTGTTGATTCCAGGAAAAAGGGGAGTGCCCACAGGGAATTAATGAGTCTAAGAAATTTATTTGCCTCAGTCTGTTGTTTGGATGTGAGACGAGGACTGCGGAGGATCCCGGGACTCCGAGGTCTACGCAGGAAAGGGTCTTCAGGAGAAAAAGTGGATAGGCAGGCCTGTTCGCTGTAGCCCACACCAAGCCCCGCCATGTTCAGCAGGTTGAAAATGTTGATGAGGGCTCCCGAGCCTCCCCCTGCCCAAGCTCCTACCCCGCCTTCTACCCCAGCTCCACCAGCTAAGGTAAGGCCTCTTTCTGATATCTTAAATGTAAAAGACCTGGGCCAGAAAGGAACACTTTCAAAAATGTTGTTTTTATTTTTATTAAATTGTTACGGTAATTTCTATTTGCTGATCCTTAAACAGCAGTCCAACAGTCTTCACATTTGCACAATTTAAACCAAGCGTTAAATGACTTGCATTCTGTACTTGACGTGTGCTTGTCTCACTGAGCGCATGGGAGTTGCTTTTAAGTTAAACCATAGCAGGCGGATCACAGATCAGTGAAAGCCTCTGAAACAGTTTGGCACTGATGAAGAGCTGCCATGGCAGTTTTGGCAAGGGGACCCTGTGTGGGTGGATTTACTGTTGCTGTTTCACTGCTGGGCCTGCAATATTAATCCCGAAACTGAGGCGGGACACTGAGGATGAACTACAAGGGTAGTTTGGGTGCATGCCTTAATCATCAGCAGACATCAAAACTGAAGCCTGGACCTGGATTTATTGCGATAGCATTTAGCACTTTGACATTTTTGGAATCACAGTGTGCTTGATGCACCAAAATAGATGAGTTTTACAACCGATTTGTCTCAAGACATTGTTTGTCCACTCCTGTCTGCGCACTGTTACTGGTATTGTGTATTTACAGGAAGAAAAGCCCCCTGAAAAGAAGGATGAGAAAGAGGATCAAAAGAAAGAGGAACCAAAGAAAGAGGAGGAAAAGAAAGAAGAAGAAAAGAAAGAGGAGGACAAAAAAGAAGAGGAAAAGAAAGAAGTTAAGAAAGAAGAAGAGCCCAAGAAAGAAGAGCCAAAACCAGGTGAGGAACCTGTTTATTTGGTATAAACTCCATATTGTTTCATATTCTTACATCACATACTATTTCACCTGTCTCCTTGTCTCCCTGACTAGAGATAAAAGGAGTTATGTTATCAGAGGACGGGACAATGACCTCAACCAAGTTCAGACCAGTGAGCGCAGTCTGGGGAATACAGGCTGGAAATATAGTGAATATAGCATCGGCCATGCAGATCTTTGCGGTTGATTAATTGATTTCGGGAAAAAGAACCATGTACCATTCACATCACTATCACTGTCTTTGCCAAGTACAATAACTTAGACATAAGTGCATGGAGTACACCTTGTACAATTGTACAGTTCATACATTTAAGAAGGTACTGTAGTGCATTCTACTGTAGGTTGCTTTGATTTTAATTTCCCTGCCAAGAAGCAATTTCCTCGTGGACTTCTATTAGAAATCACAAACAGGCTAAAGTGCAGTTTTCTGTTCTTGGAATTTTACACTTTAGTATGAATTTGCCTAGTAGAGAACATCACTCATGCAGATTCTGGAGCCAAAATATTACTCACATATTTTTAAGTCATTTTATTTTTCAATCAAAGGAGGGTCTGTTTTTTTCCCCTTCCTGTCCCAGCTGCTCCTGCTGCTGCTGCTGCTCCAGCCACAGCTGCTCCTGCTGCTCCTGCTGCTGCCAATCCAGTGGGGGCTGATGGGTAAGAATGCATCATATATTGTTTGTCCCCAACTAGTGTGAATTGGGATAAGCTTCAGTCCCCTGCGACCCTGCAGAGACTAAGAGTATCTATATAATGGATGGATATATCAGTACTAACATTTCAAGCTTATTCAAGTTATTTAAGGTTTTGCATTACAGGAATTAGATTCATACTTTAGTTTTCAGAGTCATTTTGGTGCAACTGTTCAGGTTCATGTTTAGAAGGGACCTGTTGTCGGGTGCCCTGGTGGCCTAGGGGTTCAGGCGCTCAAGGATTGACTGTTGACTGAGTGGAGCCAGGATGACCCTGGAGCTTGAACTCTGTTCATTTCAGGAAATCCTCGTGCTTCTAGTCTCCAGGAATCCTGGATCAGCTTCACACAGCACAGTAAACTATAACAGCTGTTTCAGTTTACTGTGCTTTGTCTGACTTTGCGGCATTCAGCATTTCAAGAATTACAAAAAACTTGACACAGCTGTTGCTAATATCTGCCATCTGAAGCTAAGCTTGTTAAGTTTACTCTCCAAACATCGTATGTTAAACATTTTTAACTGATTGTACAGATGGACAGTTTACTCTGTCTGCATAGTTCCAGCTCCATTGTTTTTGGCTTTCCGTACAAGAAGTGCAGTATCTGGTCAGTGTGTTAGCTGCAGAGACAGCGGCCATGATCCCACTGTGACTTGAAGTAGGAAAGAAGATTAGGAGCTTAGCGGCATTTGTGACTGAGAACAATCAGAGATGGCGTTCATATGCAAGTTTGAATTTGGTTTCAAAGAATTTAACTTTGTTCCTTTCAGATTATTTATACAGTATATTATGACTGTAGTTTTTTTAGTTAGAGAGATGCATGGATGTCTATTGTGTCATTAAAATTACAAAGTCCTATTTTCTCTTTGAGGTTCAGATAAAAGTGGTTGCGTGTCTGTCTGCTTTTCATTCTTTCTCAGATTAACAGTGACTATAATAACATCCCCTTAATAAGAATCTTCCTCTTACTGCTCACCACTATTTATAAGTTTCCATTAATGCCCCCACACTTCCTTTCTCTCTGATTTAGTGTTAGTTTTCTATGGTTTTCAGTTTATTTCAATAAAAGCATTGTGGAGATGGTGTCTGCCTCCATAATAACCCTGTAGCATTATGAGCTCTTTAAGCTATGACGGTGTCTGACCCTTAAGGGCTTTGTAGGTGAGCAGAAGGATTTTACAGGGAGGAAGTGCAGATAAGTGAGGATAAGCAAAAATATGAAAAAAAATAAAATTATCTCTATTATCTCTATTCCAGTCAGTATTCGTGCCTCAACATTTTGGGTCATCTAATGAGTCTTAAGGGACTTGTTCGGGCAGGTTGATAATAAAGAATTGCAGTAATAGAGGCTAGTTTTCCGCAATCATCTAGATGCAGGATGTGCGTGATTTTAGCAATATTAACTAGATCAAAAAAAGGTGGTCTTGAAGTTTGTTTAATGTGAGAGTTAAAGGACATGTCCTGATCCAAGAGAAGGTTTAATTATAGCTACTTTAAAGGACTGTTAAAAATGTCAGATTGATGGTATCTGGTAAAGTAGTGCTGACAAGGTTAAAACTTCTTTAAGCAGCCTAGTTGGAATGGGGTCTAAGAGACAGGTTGTTTTTTTTAATCATGAAAGAAGCTCATGAAGTCATTACTACTGAGGGCTATGGGAATATATGACTCAACAGAGCAGTTATATCATTATTATTCTGTTATTCAACTTTGCTATTTTGCTTTACAGTGAAGAAGCCCCTCCACCCTCTCCTCCACCTGTTGTCTACTTCCGCTACACAGATGACACAATAAGAAGTTTGGTCAAGAAGTTAAGAGAGCGGACAGAGATGCTCAGAGAGAAAGCCATAGACCCTTACGCCACTTCACCAGAAATCACCCCGCCAGTCAGTAAGTATGGACACGTACAAACCCCCATGTGGACAGAACACAAACACGGTGAAAGTGCTTTTTAACTCACCGTCCCTCCGTTACTCTCTCTGCCTGTTCAGCGCCCATTCTGAGGAAGGATGACTACATCAGGAAGAAGGAGGAGGAGCGGATAGCGAAAGAAGAAGCAGATAAAAAGAAGGCAGAAGAGGCTGCCAAAAAGGCAGAGGAGAAGAAAAAAAAGGACGAGGAGAAAAGGATCGAGGCCGAGAGGAAAGCAGCGGAGGAGAAGATGTTAGAGGAGGTCCAGAAGAAAGTGAAGTATATTCCAGAGATCAATTGGTCCTACTTTGACATCCCCTTCCGTCCTATTGAGGTCAAGATGAATACCATCCTGGGAAACACCCTAGATCCTTTAGGTGAGGTGCACACTGGGAACAGGACAGATGTGATTAACTGAACACATAAACTGTAATAATCTGCACGTCTTCCTCTCTCTAGATCGGCGGTATATTTCCTGGTTGGCTGTGGTAGCGGTGACATTCAACTACAACATTTGGTTTAGCACAGCACGGATGGCCTTCCCGTACCACAATGAATACGTCAACCCCTACTGGATAGTTTGTGACATTCTAAGTGACTTAGTGACTGTTATTGACATCATCGTGTGGCAGCCCCGACTACAGTTTGTCAAAGCCGGAGATATCATTGTAAGTCCCAAAGCATTGTGAAGCATCACTAGTAATGTATCTGTGATAGTTGGCTGTTAGTGGCTTTAAACACTGAATAAATCTTCTATCCCTTGCAGAAAGACGGAGCTATGACTAAGGCACATTATCGGAAATCTGTGCGATTTAAGGTGAGAATTATCTGTCCAGTGGCGAAAACTAACTATTAACTCAAGTTCTGTAGTACTGATTAGCTTGTACTTCATTTAAGCATTTCTTTTGTATGGCTCTTTATACTTCTATTCTACATTTTGAGGGTTCATTTTTTACTTTTTACTTCACTACATTTACCTGACTGGTTACTACATAAGTAAATATATGATAAAATGAAATGATATAATCCAACACATTGCAGTGTTTTTTTGGGGCACTTGTCAAATTTAATATAATAATAAGGACTTTCCCAACAAAGTAAATCTTTTGAGTTATGGGAATTAAATCACATATTTTAATAAAATCTACCACTCACTGTAACCTCAGAAATACAGAAGTAATGTAAGTTTTTTATTTGTCTCTTTTTAGTTGGATATAATTAGCATAATCCCCTTTGACCTTCTCGGCCTGCGCTTTGGATTCTCCTCCATTTACCGATTCAACCGCTTTCTCAGGGTAGGCAGCCGGCTGATAATCTTTACTGATGATGTAAATGAAGGAAAACTGAGAAAATATATTTTGTATTATAAAGTTTTCTACGTTCAGTTCTTCAATAGCTGACGGTTTTCCTGTGTGTTGTAGATCGAGTCATTCTTTGAGTTCAGCGATCGACTTGAGAGCATCATGGCCAAGGCCTACATCTGGAGGTAAATGGTCCTGGAACAGTGACAGGAGTAAAAGAATACTGGAGTTTTGCCCAATTGTCAGCACACTGTGTGTAAACGTAAGCCTACAGATGAATTGTGAGCTAAAATAGATGCCTGTTAATAATTTAGTTTCTGAACCATTTACTTTTTGGTTGCAAGACATTAATATGTTTATCTTGTTATTTATATACAGTCCCGTCCAAAAGTATTGGAATGGTAAGGCAAATTCCTTTGTTTTTGTTGTTCACTGAAGACATTTGGGTTTAAGATCCACAGATGAGTATGAGACAAGAGTTCAGTATTTATTTTTGTTTTTTGTTTTGCTTACTTAAAAAATGGATAAGTTCAGACAAAGGGTGATATGTCCTAAGTGGTTTAACACATCTAGAATACCAGGAAGTAAAAGCTAAAATTCTGAACTCTTGTCTCATACTCATCTTTTGATTTTAAACCCAAATGTCTACCATTCCAATACTTTGGAGGGGGCACTCCACTCCAACATTTTTTGATAAATGTTCCTTCTACAGACCTGTTATAACATAAAACATTAATTACCTAGATTTTTGTATCTGGAAAAAATATATATTACATAAATATTATGTAGAATGTAAACAAATGCATACATATTACAATATCTTAGATTTTCTTATGTTAACACGTTTACATTGTGCTGAATTATCTCATATTCATCTGCTGGTACTCAGTTTTAGTTTTCCTCCTGGACAACATTTGAAACTAAAATGACCCTTATTCCGCTCACACATCAATTCCGTTACATCTAATGCTGTCTCTTGAATGCAGAGTGGCTCGCACCACAGGTTACCTGCTCTACGTCCTCCATCTCAACGCCTGTTTCTATTATGTTGCCTCAGTATACCAGGGCATTGGATCAACTACATGGGTATATAGTGGAAAAGGCTCAGCGTATGTACTTCATACATTTGTCACATTGTTGTTTGTGATGTTTGTGATTATAGATGTTAGCGTAGTTGTTGAGCTTTTGTGGTGCTGAAACACTAAATGCCAATCGCTTTTGTGTCTCTGTCCAAGGTGCTAAAAATGTCATGCACTGTTTCTCTATTGTAAATCACTACTTACTATATAGTGCACTGTGCTTTTTATGTTGTTTATTTTTTTTATTTTATGTTTTATATACAATTCTACCTGGAAACGCATTAACAACCATGCTGAGCAAGCTACCATCTAGTCATGCCCTGCCAAACACCCAGAACACAACAGCAACCACCTAGCAACACCCTAGAAACCTGCCTAAATGCAGAGAAAGTATCCAGCAAGACAACACCAACCATTTAGCAACACCCCAGCAAGAACCTAATCTGATCCAGTACTGTTTAAGTAGGAGACTTGTATCAGATTTGATCAAGAAATGAAGCCTTTCCCTGTCTATCTCAAAATGACTCAATAGAAAACAGTGAACACAATACAGCAAAAGTGTTAAAGGATGTTATGTCTGGTCCTTTGTCCACCTCAAGTATCGGTTCTGTGTATTTCTCTGAATGCACTGTGTTGTTGAACAGAGCACAACACAACATAAAGTCATAGTATCATGTTTATGAAACCAAAATTTGAAAAGGTCCCATCCTTCCACAGCTACCTGCGGTGTTATTACTTTGCAGTCCGCAGTCTGATCAACATCGGCGGTCTTCCAGAGCCCACCTCGACCTTTGAGATCGCCTTTCAGATGCTGAACTTTTTCATTGGCGTCTTTGTGTTCTCCAGCTTGATTGGACAGGTAGGTAGGAGGATAGTTCAAAAACCAAAGTTTCATTCATTTCTATCACCTGTCTGATGGTCTTATTCACTACACTCTATATTCACATTAAGTTTTCAAATCTCTGGTGTTATTTTTTATCTATATATGTTGAACTCCTTAGCAAAAGCTTTTCATCACAATGTAACATATGTGAGTTTAACACTCCCCCTTGTCTATCTTTCTTTCTTTCAGATGAGAGATGTAATAGGAGCAGCAACAGCAGGCCAGACATATTTTCGGGCGTCGATGGACGGCTGCGTCGCCTACATGAACACCTATATGATCCCCAAGCAAGTCCAGAACAGAGTCCGCACCTGGTACAACTACACCTGGGCAGCTCAGGGCATGCTGGGTGAGTCACTGAAGATAAGACACTAAAACGATATACAAAAAAATCAAGCTTTGCTTTGTAATGATCACAAATAATTATTTCCGTTCCAATAATGTTGAAAAACCAAGCAACTGTTCAGAGAAAATGCGTATGACATGTCCACGTCTTCTCCAGATGAGTCTGAGCTGCTTGACAAGATGCCTTTGGTGATGAAAACTGCCATCGCTGTGGACATCAACCTGGCCACCTTCCAGAAGATCGCACTGTTTCAGGTGACTCAGCATTCAGGGTGTCCTCTGGCCATGAGGACATTCTCTGGCCTGTGTCAGGACTGTTGAAACAAACACCAAAACAATAAGCTGTAATAAAGGTTACCACCATCCCCACATAAGATTACACGTTTATTAAGACACAGGGATAAAGGTGACAAGTGATTTTATTTTATTTTTTGTTTGAATTCAATATATATTGTGAACTAAAGTATGTTGGGTCACGTGTCTGCACAGAAATAGAGCAACACCTGTTTGCAGGGTTGTTAAATTGAGTCAAACATTTCGAAATTCAAAGAGGATGTTAAAAAGAGATGGATATGCCCACCCACGTGCCTGAAATTTAGTCAGTTTTGTTTGTCGTATTCATTGTAGTTTTTGTAATTCAACTCAATAGCTGAGACAATCAAATCCTCCCATAACGTGAGATGATTCAATTAAATTTTAGAAAAATTTAATAAACATCTGAAATCATACACTTCCATCTGAATACATCACTAACTGACCTGTCAACCTGCGACTGCCTCTCCACAGGGCTGCGACCAGCAGATGTTGGTGGACATGTTGCTGAGGCTCAAGTCCATCATCTATCTACCTGGAGACTTTGTTGTGAAGAAAGTGAGTGTGAGAGTGCATGTGCGTGTGTGTGTGTATGTGTATAAAGGATTTGGCGATCTTCAAGAAGTTTCATTATCAGTGTGACCTCTGCGTCCCGCCCTCTCCCTCCTCCTGCAGGGCGACATCGGTAAAGAGATGTACATCATCAAAAGTGGAGCGGTGCAGGTGGTGGGAGGACCTGACAACAGCATTGTGTTTGTAACGCTGAAGGCCGGCTGCGTGTTTGGAGAAATCAGGTTTGTCTGCAGGAGTGTTTAGTGATCTGTGTTCACTAGAGTATAAAAGAACACCGCTAAACAAATCATATATTTATCCTTCATTTTGTCCTCCTGTATCAGATGACAATTATCATGTCATGATAATATGTGCCGTATACATACTGAGAAAATGTTTGCTTCAGTTAAATCTGGTGAAGTTTTCTTAACTTAAAAGTAAAATTACACAGAAATTCACCACCTCACTTTTACATTTACAAAATTAAATAACAACAAAAGTAGCGTATATTGCACGGATCTAGGATTACATTGTAGAGTGCCTGCATTTCCCACATATAATCTTCTCATTGAGACACCAATGTTATTCAAAATAGACACTATGGACACGTTTTTATTTTTGCATCCCTCCCAATCAGTTTACTACAGTCTGCCAAAGATGGAGGTAACAGGCGCACAGCTAATGTGAAAGCACATGGCTTTGCTAACCTTTCTGTCCTGGAGAAGAAGGACTTGTTTGATATCCTCGTCCACTACCCAGAGTCTCAGAAAGTCCTGGCCAGGAAGGGAAGGTGAGTCATTAAGAAAACGGTTTGGTATGTAAACCTTTTTTTTTTTTTGACTTTGGCTGTTTCAGTCAAGACGTAAAAGAAACAACCACCCTCATTCAAATTCTTGTGATACTACATAAAATTCGATTTTACAATGCAGCTCATTAAGGATTTTGTGTGTGTGTGTGTGTGTGTGTGTGTGTGTGTGTGTAGGAAACTGACCAAAGCCAAAGGTCCTGCACCTGCTAAAGCCACTGATGATAAGCAGAAGGGTGCGACTCTGTTTGGAGACAAACCACCAACGCCCAAGTTTCTCAAAGCCTTTGGCAATTTCAGAAAAGGAGGCTTCATGGACAAACTCAAGGTAAAGTCTTAGCAGGCATGCACCGTGCTTCACAGAGAAAACCGGGGTTGTTTGATTTGGTTGTTGGCAAATAGCCTTGCACTCTTACAGAAAATGTAAACACTGGACACCTAATATTGTAAATGTTCACAAGAATTAATAACTTTGTGGTTAGAGAACAGCAGCTTTTAACTAAAGACACAGTGATGGCTTTACATCATGGGTGAGCGTGCAGTAACGTTCACGTGTCTTTTTTTTTTTTTTTTGTCTTCTATCCACAGAATGCTCAAGCGGAGCAGAAATGAGAGAGGCGTGTGTGACGGTTCTGAGCTTGGCTGCTTCATATATCTGTATCATTGTGAATATTCCACTTTTCACTGGCTACTGAAAGGCTCACAAGAAGACAGATTTTACAAGCAGAGGTGTGAAATGGTTGAGTTGTTGCAACCATTTCACATATGATTCCCACGCTCTTGAGCACAGACATCAACTGAAACCTGTGAGATTATGCAAAACCAGACTGTAAACAGAGTATATATTCTAGCCCTTTCCCTACCTTGGAAATGTCTGTAGATTCCTAATAGAGACTTCAATTCAACCTAATCAGTGCCAGTAGCCAAATCTTAAGATCTTTAAATTGTGCATCATTTTTCATATAAAGTTAAGTTGTTTACTACAGAATGTGTCCTTGGCTTTATTACTTGTAGACAAGCTCTTTACTTTTCACTTTGTAATTTGTTTTGCAGAGTTAGCAGTATGAGTGGCAGTACCGCCAATGGCTAAATGGGTAAAATGCACCTCCTACTGTTTGACATTAGAATTTAAACTAATGGAAAATTTAAAGGAAAATTAAAGGAAGACGACAGTCCTGGCACAGCTGACTGAGGATCAGCGGAAAACATGAAAGGAATGACTTCCTCGCTCTTTTTACAGTACTGCGAAGGCGAAATAATTACTCACTAATGTTGCTTAAACTTAAGGCACTGCTGGATTAAAATTAGAGGACTTTAGTGTTGGAAACTTACTCAGCCTGTGAAATGACATCAGAGAAATAGTTTTCTGCTTTTTGAGATGTTTTTGTGGACAGTGACATTTTTTCCCCACTGTGAAAACTTGTCTCTGTTAGAATCCACTAACTGACATGGGTCCAAGCTGTCCACCATCTCTGTGATAAAGCAGACTACAAACTTTGTCTACATAAGGCGAGTGTTTCATTCTCAAAAGACAGATTTATGATGGCGTCACACTCTCAAGGCTTCATAATAATTTGATCTTATTGTTTTTGTTTATTCTTTTGTTTGTGGTCTTCTTTTGAAATTCTTGTCTTCTGTTCCATTTTTTGGGGATGAATGCTATGTGAATATAATTAGTCACTAGGCAAAGTACAAAGTTTAGTTCTCTGGCCACTTGATCTCACAGCTCTCCACTGTTTGCAGTAAGCATCCATCAATCTGCATAATGACAAGTATTACTTTCTCTCTTGCTGCTTGCAACCTGTTTGTAGAATCTCTGCGGCACAAACAAAACAAACAGGACAGAGTGGGAAAGATCTGTTATTTGGTAATAACACCTGAGCAGCCTGAAGCTTTTCACAGACATTTTAAGTCCACTTCACAGAATAAAATGCACATAAAGCTACAGCAAAATGATGGCTAATTATAAAAAGCTTAGTTTAACATGATGAATAACAAATAATACACGGAGGAAAAATCCACACAAACATAAAATAAGTTGAAAATAAGAAATAAGGTGTGAACACTGTTTTAGTTTCCTCCTTTCATGCACAAAACTGCAATTGGACATTTTCTCTCAATATGCAGAAAGCTGCGAGATCGCATGATTGTATATGACCTTTAGTTTAGATTGAGAACAGTTGAGAGGGAGAGTCATCGTCCCCCTCCAACTGCTCTGTGATACTGTACAGTTACAGTACACTTTCAGCTCTTCTCAACTGTTTAATAAGTCTCTGTTCAAAGTCAGACAGCTGGGGGATGTAGTCTGCAGGATACTTGGCCAGTATATCACACTGGAAGTCTTCATCTCCCCAGACGGATTGTTCAGAAACAGCTGTTTAACTCGGGGACTTCCAGAAGATCATCTGTCTGTCCTCTCCGCCTGTGATCACTGTGGTGCACAGCTCGTTCATCCACATGGCTGTGACGGCACCTGTGCAAAGAGACCGTGAAGATATGACGTGGAATAATAGCACTGTGGTACCCTTTTGTTTTTGTTCCTGGGTAGTAAATGTTAACCCAATTGCTTATGCCTCAAAAGTATAGAAAATGACTATTATTCCACACAAACTTTGCTTTTCTGACCCGGACAGTGATATTTTGAAATCTACCCATTTCCAACAGGCAAATCTGTGTCTTTTTGTTCAAATAAAGTCAGAAAAAAACAACATCTAAGCTTCTACACTCTCATATTGCAATTGCAATGATCTATAGTATTAGTACCCAGATGAATTAGTACAAAGCTACACTGATAAAGCCTCACTTTAGAAAGCTGTAATGTTGTTACTCGAAATAAGAAACAAACGAAACATTCATGCAGACTTTCACCCAGGTGAACTGCTGAATGTGGGAAGATGTGAGCTGTACTTGAGTGTGCAGGGATCCTCTTGGTGACTGTGTTGCTGAGCAGGTCCCACAGCAGGAGCTCCCCAGACTCTCCCCCACACAGCACTGAGTTCCCGTCCCAGCAGAAACACCTGAACACACACAGACCCGAAATCTGTTTGACTTGCTGTCAGTCAGCAAGGAGACTGTGAATCAACTTTTCTTTTCACTATCCCGATAGATGTTAACAGCCAAATTCTTTGAGCTCAAACACAAGCCAAATTAAAAGCTTGTGGAATAGGAATCTACCAACTGCTCTACAGAAAGCCAATTCAACTTACCAGCATATAGAGGACAAAGGAGATTTGTGCATTTCTTATAAACAAGGTACTTGTATATTTATATATTTGGTCAGTTTAGAGACTATTTTACCTAAATGCTAAAGTACTAACCCTGTATGTGTACTGTATAGGGAGAAAATTGAAGAAACTACTTTAAAAAGTATTTAAATAAGATTTAAACCAAAGATTGTCACTTATATGACTTTCTACAGAGCTTCAAACGCTGTGACGTCTTGCTTCGGATAAAGCTGTAATCGACCCCTCCAGTTCTGCAGATGGTGCGATCTTACCTCTGCTCCTCCGCAGATTTCACAGATGAGATCACCATTCCCGTCTGGACGTCAATGACTTTCATGCAGGAGTCGGCACCGACACTGAGAATGTGTCTGCTATCTGAGGAAGCAAAAAAAGCAAAGTCAGCGTTCGCATGGTTTGTAGTTAACTCAAGGGTTTACGGTCGGTTGTTGGCTGGATATGACATATATCAGAGCCACTTTAAAAGCAGGACAAAATAGTGTATGAGGCATAATGGAGCAAGCAGCACTGACAGAAAATGCCTCCTTCTGTAACGTTGGCATTCACAGCACTCTATTAGTTTGGATTCTCTGCAGTGTGTAAAAGTTAGAACTTTGCACCAACCAGTACAGGTAGCACTGGTTGGCTGGCATGTTGGACACATACCCGGACTAAAGGCCATGTGGTGGATGGTTCCAGTGTGGCAGTGGACTTGCTGCAGTGTTCCGTAGCTGCTGGTGTCCCAGATGGTGACAGTCCCATCTTTACAACCAGACACCAGCAGGGTCCCCGCTGGATTCAGACCAATGGTGTTCACCTGTACGCAGGTGTGTCAGAGAGGTCACATTACAGAGGGAAAACAAGTTTCAGATTCAGCTGTGCTGCTAATACTACTTTTCAGTGTTTGACAAACATGTTTAAATACAGTTTACTTGTTGAAAATGTGCCCGACATATTCCATACATAGACAACATTACAACATACACACAAACGTGCTCTTATCAACTACACAGAATGAGAAAAGAAACTTTTTCCACCCTGAGAATAAGATATTTTTATTTTTTAGCCAAACATGTGGGCCTGAACTGACTCCTCCTCAAATTTCCCATTTCTGTACACGCTTTAAATACACAGATTTCATAAGCTGGTGATGTGACCTTAAACGGCTCACACGGGTAACACACAGTTGGTTTCCTCACTCACCCCCGCATCATGTTCCAACTCAGCCAGTAACTCAAACTGTGATCTCTTGTGGCTGGACGAGCCATCAGACTCGCAGTGCCACACCTGTGAAATAATCATCATCAGCTGCAGCTCTCGCCTCTCAATCTGACAATATTCACAGAACCCTCAATTTGGACATCACAGAGTAGCGTCACCTCGTTAAAGTACTTGAGTTTTTACCTTGACTGTGGAATCCCAGGACGCCGTGTACAGCCGTTCATCAAACCAACACATTTCACTGACGGCATCATCGTGACCCATCAGCGTCTCCTGCCGCCTACCGTATGGGACGGAGTAGAAATAACTAAGGGAGGAGAAACACGTAGGTCAGCGTGAAGTCATGAACATCTGTTTGAAAATGTCCATACAGACTACACTTACACATTGTTGTCCCACGAAGAACACACCACCGTTTTACCATCTGCCAGCATCAAACATGATGATAATGCCTGAGAAATAGTTTCTTATTTAGAGAGAGTTACAAATGATTGAAGAGATGCTGGAGTGGAAAGTAAGAAAGCTGCGTACCATGTTAGAGAAGGACATGCTTCTCTGGAAGTCCTTCAACTCTTTGGAAAACATTTTAAGTGTTGAGTCTGGAATAAAGAGTGAGATATGGTTTAGTAACACAGAGTACAACTCAAATTCTCACTTTTAGTGCTGTGCTCTGGGCGAGCACTTCAACTGTTTCACTGGTGTACTATACTAACTAACTACAGAGGGCCACTAGAGGCCGTGGTTGCCACACCGCTGAGCAAATATAAAAATCACCTCACCCTGTCATTAAAAATAATGCATTATGAAAGAGGCCTGACTATAAAGAGGCTCAACACACAGCTGTGATAGATTTAGCTGCTTGTTGGGATGATTTGAGATGGAAAGATATTTTCCAGACCTTGGGATGTGGAGAAAATAGCTGCTCCATCTCGAGTCACAGCGATGCCCGTCACAGCCCTGCGCGTCCAGCACAAAGACCCAGTTAGTCAAAAACACAGCACTTGCGTAAATATAGAAATGAAATGTGGAAGGGACGGTGCTGTTAGGTTCGCGTGGCGGTCGCACTACAGCAGAATCACAGTTACAGGGAGCTCGAAATGCTTGATAAGTGCAAAGTTTAGAAATGTGAGAAAAAATATTGTTCTAAACTCCTCAGCTTCCCCTGTGTCCTAACAATACATTTTAATAAATCACGTTTTTCAAAACTCTTAGTGAGAGTGTGAAGCCGCTGTAGCTGCCTGGCTCTAGATTAGCATGCACTTCCTCATATTTGAGCCAGAGCTTTCATTTCAGCTTACGCCGAGTTTGGACTTGCAATGCAATTATATTTGTACTTTGTCGTTACTGTAGCCCACTGAATGCATACTGACTTACTCTTTATGGATCTTCTGGCTGGAGATGAGTTTCAGATTTCCCATGTTTGCCCAGGCCAACTTCCTGCTCTCCTCAGTCAGGTCTTCGAAGGACGAGTCTTCGCTCTGAGATGCTGCAAAACAACACAGGGACAACTGCAGTAGGCACATATGGAGGTGATGGAAGAT